AAAGCAATTAACCAGTGTAAGACTTATCTTAGAAAAAACAATAGTGACAGTTGGTGGGTTCTCTAGGGACTTATTTTATCTCACGAAGGCACGTTTCCTATAATCCATACTTTTTTAAATTTTATTTTACATTACAGCATATTGAAGTTTCCTTAAGTAGAGAAACAGTATTGGTAACTATCTGCTTTCAAATCTGTCATGCCAACATGTCCTTCATTCAAATAGCTGTTTTTGAAAAAAAGCTTCTCTGTTGTCAAGGGATACAGAACATAAAACCCTTCACTAGTCCATCAAGAAGAAAGGCGTCTAAAAGCAAAAAATACATGTGAAAAACACTCACTAACTTCTTTCACAAACTCTGGACTATAAACCTGGACCTCAAAAAGGAGGTGTATGTCCTAAAACCCAAATGATTACCATTTAGGGATATCTTTCAGATATGTTTAAAAGTAGCCTAGATGTGATGCTTGGGAATATGGCTTAGCACTGGACTCGGCAGAGTAGGGTTAATGGTTGGACTCGATGATCTTCTCCAATCTAAATTATTCTGTGATTCTAACACCAGAAACATTCTTAATTTGCTTTTAAGGCCTTGTTTTACCTAGTTTAGCACTTTAAAATATGACACAGCAAATTTACAATTCAACACTGAGCATAATTTCACTGACAGCAAATGATTTTCCACTGTCACACTTGGAACTGTTCATTTTAGGAGAGAACTCCTACATACTTGTTTTCTAGTCAGTTCCGTGTTTTTAGACTGGGAAGGCTGGGATTTTGGATAAGCAGGAAAGATGACAGATTCATAGAATGGCTAAGGTTAGAAGGGACATTAAGAAGAGCTAGATCCCAGCCCTCTGCATGGGCAGGGATACCTCCCAGTAGATCAGGTTGCTAAGTGCCCCACCCAACATGGCACTGAATACTTCCAGGGGCCGGGGATTCAGGTCCTGTAGATGGTCTTTTCCTACAGTGGGCAGACCTTTCTTTTCCGAGTCCATGCCTTTGCGTTCTATAACTGGGGTGGTGTGACCAGAACCCTTGCTGGTGAAGACTGAAGCAAAATAGTCTCTTGATTATATGAAATAATTAAGTCAATCTTTGGTTTTAACCTTGTTGACGTGTACCCTCCTCATTTAATTAAGGGGTTCCCAAGAAGAGCCCATTATCTCCCTCTCTTGTGTAACAGCAGTCTTATTAATCAAGCCTGTGAACCAACATCGAGTGAGCAACTCAAGCAGAATGATACTTCTAACACTGTTTACGTGGGGAGGAGACTCTGGATCTTCCAAGTGTGTAGATTTAGGCTAGACATTAGTAAGAAATTCTTCACTACAAGGGTAGTGAGACACTGGAGTAGGTTTCTCAGGGAAACTGTGGATGGTCCCCTCCTGCAAGCGTCCAAGGCCAGGTTTCACAAGACATTGAGCAATCTGGCATACTGGGAGGTGCCCCTGCCCATGCAGGGGGGCTGGAACTAGATGATCTTTAAGATCCCTTCCACCCCAAACCATACTATGATTCTATGAAGCTGCAGAGACCCTCAGTTTTCTGTATGTAAAGGAGAGGTGCCACAGACGAACAGCGAAATCAGGTGACAAGCGGCTACCCCGTGTGTAAACACGCAGGGAACTCCCCCTCACCTC